ACTAAAATGATACCAAAATCAAAGACTCACTGACTTGGGCCAACTTGAACATATAAATCCAACAATATATACAATTATAGATATGAGTTAATGTTAAAAAGTCACAAAATGTCAAACAGTTTGTTATAGGTATTAGTAGTCAACAAGATTATTTCTACAGGTTAAGTGTTCGAAAGTAAACGGATTGCAATCATTTCCAGAACTTCGTGGTGAGCAGCAACAAAGAAATGAGAGTTTTATATATCACAGCAAAAAGTAACGCACTAATCGAAAGCGCGCCTGTTTTATATCATGGCCTACAATCAGCTAAGAAAAATCCTGGTTATGGCATGATCGAAATATTACTGTCTTCTTAATATAATAACGATGTATTTTGTATGGTATAAAGCTGAATGGCTTAAATGTTATGGCAGTTTTAGTTACTAAAAGATATGAATCCTGGTACTGCATTTCCATAGGCTAGTGCGAAATATGACTGAATTATATGTGACCTTCAGCGAGATGTCTGTTTTTATGGGGAATAAAAGTATTTCACTAACTCAAGCAGCATGGAGAAAACTAAACTCTTTACCTTTAAAAACGGAACAATTTGCATTTCTGGATATGCTCAGCATCATAAAATAACATGATTGGAAATTACTACAAGATTGGAGATCCAAAATATGAACACTAGTCTCATTCACATCATTAAATGCTCAATCATGGATGTGAAGTGATTTTAGCTATTCACAATACACTATCCCTCCAAATTCAATAGATCCCTGAAACTTCATTAGAGTTAATGAAACACAATTCATAAACTTTTTTTAGACGAAATACCATTTCGAGTATGTACATATAGAATCAAGAATATTACATATGATCAACATTTAATTAAAAACGACACCAGATCAAGAGATTTGAAGTATAAAATACAAACTTCCAGAGACAATTCACTTAACAGAAACAATTCCTACTTTCATTTGAATATATATCAGGCATTTTTACACATGTTTCTCGACTTTTCTGACTATTTCCATTACTATTATGCATGTCTTTTGTGATTATTACTTGTTGTGTGTTTTTCGCTTACATTATATTTCACACGAAACGGTTTTTATCACAGTCATCGCATTGTTTTTGATATTATTTGAAAGCTATATTTGCATCAAATCAAAATGTCGCTATGTAAAAACAATGTTTTTGTGAGTGGATTATTTCTAATTAAATATTACATATACTGAAGATGCAAAGTTTATTAATTTAATGTAAATCATTATATCAATTCAAACAAACACGTTTTGTTTCTCATTTCCCTGACTTTCTGAATAAAACTGAGCAGTATACGATTTGTTCTGAATCAGTAGATATTGAGATGAGAATTCATCTAAAATTATCTTTAAAATCAACAGAGTTTCTGCATACTATGTATTGCCATAGACTTAGCGGTTGAGATGGGAAACCTTGATTTCTGTAGTCAGAATACACCTTCTGCCTTCACTTCTTCTAGCTTGAGAATGAATGCAATCTCAACTGTTATCAGTATTTAGATATTGTTGTTACTGTTTTGTGCATTTTTCTTATTGCAATTATTAACACCAGTCTCTAAACTAACATTCTGTCCACTCTCTCCATCCACTTAATAATTTCTTCTGATACTTGTTTCCATGCTCTTCCGTTAACATTAATTTTCATCTGAAAGTTTTTTTTTTACATTACACTAGTCTAAATTTCCCAATCTTCCCTCAGCCCACTTATTTGTTTTTTTTTGATTTTTCATCATCGGTTTGTAAGTATCATGATGATGCGAACAGTACCCCAAACTAAATTTCTCGGTCTTGTTCTAAGCACAAATATTTTTTTTGTATTCCTTTACGTTTCCAGTGGAACATGAGGCTTAAAGCTTGGGACTTGAAGTTTTCTTAGCAATGGTGTTTATTTTTACAGGATGTGGTTGCTAGCCTCATACCCAAGCTTCATTTTCAATCAGCTTTATTACTGGTCTACCGAGGTAGATGAGTACATTGGCCGGGGTTCGAACCACGGAGCACATGCGTGGTTACCGAGCATTCTACTACTGTGCTACTGACGCACTTCGCGTATGGATATACAAGCATAATCATAGTTAATTGCGATTATGCAGCTAAGTGAATGAATTCGCATGAAAAAAGACTCTTGTGTATTCAATACTTTATAAACTTTAGCCTTTTTAGCTTTTAGCTTTTAGAAAAAATATCAACATACAAAGGAAACATGATCAACGTCTGGTCATGAAAACTAACTGTAATGAAATAGCCAGTCTCACTCAGGAGAGTATTTATCACTTAACCATAGAAAAAAATCATAATCCACAAACAATTTATTTAGGTGGAACTCCCATTTCTAGAAAGTATGCTGGTATATATATTTGTGTGAATAGATATAACATAAGAAACCAAACAGTAAAGGCTAGAATAAATTCTATGGGATTAGGTGCAAACCAGCAAACTATCCATTTTCGTAAACTAAGACAAATGAAGACTGTCTAAAATGATAAAATAAATACAGGAAAGTTGACCCTGACAACTAGGTATTCTGCTGTTTTAAAATAAAACAAACATATAAAGCAATGCTGAATATGTATAGTATTTTGATTATCCTCACATATACTTAATTCAGTAATATGTTAAGTGTGCTAGCAATCCATGGGCGTGTATTATTCGCGAACGAATACAAAATGCATTATAGTTCAAAATTAGGCTTCATGTATTACTTTGCAAACCTTTTGTTGTATAAAAAAATTTCTTTGACAAAAGAATAAGAAGACGTAGTTTATCTGAAACGTGTAATGTGTATTTGCACAACACATTTCTAGTCACACGCGTACTCGTTAGACACAGTTATATAGAAAGTAAGGGAGCTGGAAATACTACAACACAAGTGAAACTATGTGCATCTCAAGGTCACAAATAAGGGGCAGGCAGCTGAAATAAAATTTAGGGGGTAGATGTAAATAGCAGGTGGTGAAAATATCAATAAGTAAACTTTTTGATAATGTGTCTTCTTATTGCTTTATCTAAATTCACAAAGGGGACTAATTGTTTTAAATTTTTAAAGACAAGGCTCCCTCCACACACTATCAAAAGGTGAAATGAACTTGTTAACCTTAGGTGTGAAATTATCGTCGGACGTAACACGTTGGAATTTTATGAGTTATGTATTGAAAATAAGTAAACCGTTCTACATTGGATCCAAGTTTCAAGTTATAACATATCACTTTTGATCGCATAAGAGAGGTTCAAGCCTTTTTTATGATCAAGACTTCAACGAATTTAAGTCTGATCAATAAACAAAGAGTCAAGGCTGCAATTAGTTGAGCTTACCATGCAGCTAAACTTATTTTCATAGCCAAAACAAGATCTCACAGCATTCGAAAGTTAATGTCATGTCTCAATGTTTCTGCAAGTTTGCCTGTTTCTGTGGACCGACGTACACAGAGAGGTACCGTAGGTCTCTGCAGGCTTAGGCTAAAAAATATATTTCGAAGTTGTTCCAACCACGAATAAAATCACCATAAACAAGTGATTCCGAAAATAGATATCCAACATCATCTATAGCGAAGCACATCATAGAGACGAGTCATCAGGATAATTTCAATGATGCCTTTAAATCCATATATAAAATAACGCTGGGTTACATATTTGTTGAAGCTTTGACCATAAAATTGCCTGCACATGTCACAAGTATCCGAAAATTATTTGTTATTACTTGAAACTTGCATTGGCTATTCAATCAAGAACGGTTTACTTTATGATATTTTCACAATCTTCCTTCTATTTTCCCCTACTGCTACTCTTATATCCTCTGCTAGCACCAAATTTACTACCTTGGCCCGTACACAGTCTGTTCTGTATTATAGTAATTCCTGTTCTCTTGCCTTTTATGTGTATGTGTTTGACAAGTACTAGTATGTGTGATCAAAATGTCAGAAATATGTTGTGCGAATGCACATTACACGTTTCAGATAAACTTAGTCTTCATAGAAGGAACTAATGCCTTCAAAAATTAGTTTTCATCCCACTTTAATACATTCTCTATTTTACCTGATAATCGATCACCACTGTTACTTCTGTGTTTACACCATACCATCGTTATGCATTCATGAATAATATTGTTATTTGTTACCCTTGCACTTAAGTTTAGTTTTTCTCATTTGTTGATTTATTTGTCAGTACTACTCGTCTTATCTCTCATATCACTGACTATACTGACCATTGAAACTTCCACTTTGTTGATTATATATACATATATATATATGCGGATGATACAGGCGCATTAGGCTGATGTCTTCTTGATATGAATGCTATCTATCGCTTAAGAAGAAGACTGAATCACAGACCATTTTGTCGTTAAAGTAATAACTGAATTTCTCAACATATACTATAATTTCAGACATTCTCTATTCGTGATGACTTATAACTTAAGCGTCATTCCATTTGTCACCTCAGTAATATCTGAGACGGTCACTAACAAATAGAACGCATATCTTACCTGTCTAAAACTGATTTGAACGCACCCGTCAACTTGATGACGCAAATGAAGTTTTGTGTATTGCAACAGTTTTCCCAAAGAGTAAGAAAAACATCAATGACAAATTAATCCTCTATTCAAACATATATCGAATTTTTCTCTGGTATATTTGTGCATGGTGTATTACACTAAATTAGAAGAGAAATACAATCAATTTCTTAGGTAAATACCAAAATTCTTAACAGTCAAGTTATACTCACACTAAGAGAAGACAAGCAAACATGTGTAAAGAATGCTACCGTTACTTAATCTGTCTGTCTATCACTCACACCTGTTCCACTTTTACGCGTATCAAAAATCGTCAAGTCTGAAACATCGAATTGTGTGATGTGTTTCACATGACATGAATGAATTCCACTTTATTAAAAGCCAATCAGCGATCATGCAATTTTCAATACATAACAGCTACTTGAACATTCTATGCCCAAATCACACATTTCATGAGCAGGAACATGCATGGCAAAATATGGCTGACTGTTATCACATCAATACTCTTGTGTAAGTAGTGGCTTATTTTATCAGTATATTGATTAATAATTCACGAAACACAACAAGCCTGTTGCAATTTCAAAGGTTTCGTTATACTGTTTATCATACATTCGTATTTCCTCATGCGTGTTTCAGTGTAATTTACACGAGGCATATAACAGGTATTTATTTATTCTAGATATCATGTATCTGCCACCGTGCGAGTCAGGAGTGCTTTTGTTTCTTTTCTGTGAGTTGTAATGACGGATTTATGTATTTCACTGATCTACAAACCTTACAAACTCAACTTAGATTGGACAAGCTCTGTAGGTTAAAGGACCCAGTTGACCCAATTAGACAAAATTATATAATTTACAAAATACCCTGCAGTGAATGTGAGTCAGGTCAACTAAATAGGTAAACTAGTAAGTCAGGGGTAGTCAGATTGTCAGAACACACAACCAAACATTACCGTGAGAGAGGGATGAAATTCCAAAAAGAGAGAGGTTAATTATGGAATCCTTATTCATCGAGTATACACCAAACACATGCAATAGGAATGATTCATCACTCATACCTGAAATAGAGAAAATACTACTACCAATCAAATCAAGTGCAAATCAAGAGAAAAACAATGGAAATATATAAACGAAGTTAGGAAGTCATGTGAGTACCTTGATATGATTATGAGCAATAAATTGTGCTCGAAACGTCATCAGTAAACATTACTGTGCAACACTGTGAGACTTAATCAAAACAAAATTTACCCACGATGGAATTAACTCTGAAGTTCTCTTTACTTAATCAGATAATAACAATAGAAATATCTACGTAATATAGAAGCAGTGACTATAAATGTAAGTGTTTCTTCTGGTCAGCCACTAAGACATTCTTATCCAATATACATGAAATGAATGTAAATGAGACGTTGGCATATTGTAGTTCGATGGAAATTGTTATTCCCGTCGGATACTCCATTGAAAGATCTGACATTAAATATGGTTCTGCAATCGTCCTCCGGTTGATTTAAAGGTTCTCTTTGATCTGTGTTTACGAGTGGTATTATACTTGAGTTGAATTCATTGAAAATGAATATTGTTGGGAGGTATCGGAATCATCAAAAATGACATTTGCAAATGTTTTGTGCATAGTAATTAAAACTGCTAAAGTTTTGTCGTTTTGCATTTAGAAGCTTTGCATTACAATCAATTCCATTCAGTCTTATTAAAGAACAACGTTCCACATCTCGGGTATTTTCGGATAGCTAAAGAACCATTTAACTGTGTCATGAGCTACAGGATAGTGTTAATTATTCTTATTGAGAAAAACACCTTAAATGTTTCAGAATCCTGAATAGTACCGAAGTGAACCGAAAGAGAGCATCTTCGGAAATATCACTGATTTCAAACTATGTGACGTGCAATCAAAAGCAGAGGGTTCGGTAGAGGACAGTTTATATGAAAAGTTGAAGACGCCAAGCGGCAAATTAAAGCAAAGCCATATCACATGGAAGTGAAATGTTGTTAAGCTCAACACCGAATGTCACCTTACACATTCCATTTACATGTTTTGAATCTTTGAGAAGGGAATTTCATCTTTCTATTTTAATCATTTATTCACTACATAGGTCTAGTGTATCCGTATTTTTGCTCTGGTATGTTTCTGTAAAGTTTCATCTAACTGTATTTTTATATCATTGTCTATAAGAGAGTGATTTCATTGATGATATACTGGGACATTTAACTGGTTTGATTCCCAAGCTTCCCTTTTTCCTTAAGATGAGATTATTTTCCATACAGAGTGTATTTAATGGTAGGTTGTAGCTGGCAAATTCGTTTGTTTCTGACACAGTTTTCAGCTTTCAACTGTGATATTCGCAACGCAATAGCACATGGGTTGTACACACATAATTACTTTTAACTGCATGTCTCATGACGAGGAGAAGTGAGTGATAATTCACGTAACAAATGAAGCACTATTTTGCCTTATTTATAGAAGATGCAAATGACTTTGTGGTAAGCATTGTTACATTTCATGAGAGTATATCTGTAGAATAACAATTGATATTATGTGGTGTATGATAAAAATCATCATTAAGACAATTCTACAGGTGACAAATCTTTGACTAACTATAAGTACCTGAATATGTGAAAGTAAATATATTAATCAAGTAATTGGCAGAAATTGAAGAATTCTATGTAAGGGATAATAGTGGTACAAATCTACTTCAACTGTGAATAACAAATGGTTAGGCAGGTAGTCTCTGAAATTCTTCATACTGCTCCAGCCTTGTTGATTGTCTATTCTTCAGTGCAGATTTTTAACCTTCACTCGTTTCAGCACTTTCGAATGTCTGTCAGAACGTCAGATACCACACATCGTACATGATACTGGCAGTGACTTGTTTAGTACGACAGATCTGCCTTAAATTGTGATTGCCTCCTAATTAATAATAATAATTTTGAGAGATAAGTGTCTCATTCCGTGTTTCATGAAACTGGAACTCCATGGAACTGATGTGAATGGTTTGTTCATGTGAAAGAAAACTCTCCGGTAGCATGTATTTCTTGATGATGATGATGCTTCGAAGAGGAATCCATTTAAATGATAGTAATTCTAAATCACTTTAGATGTTATCACTTGGATGTTCACTTGTTTTTCAAGAATAATTTGAGTTCTGTGATGTTGAATTCTAATATGATAACAGGGGCGAATACCAACTCCGGTAAGTATATATGATAACCTATTTCAACGACGCTTGTGATCATTGCGTGTCTAACTGGAAGTTTTTTTCGTTTGTATAATAGTTATTCCTGTTAAACATGCATACTGTCTCAACACCATGTAGGTAAACATCTCACAATCTGAGCCGAATTCATGAATATGAGCACGTTGGGAAAATAACAAATCATCATATCCATAAATATGATGAGAATGCAATTGAGACTTGAGTGAACCGCTCTCTGTCGTAATTGAATTTATGTTTCCTCCATGCCCTTATATAATAAACATAGTTTAAAGTATCCACTATTTTTAACGTATAATCATTTTTAAGAGTAAGCCTTCAAATCATAACATATACGTGCAGATCTTTAAAGGTATTTTGAGCAATTTCCGATTCCCATTTCTATGATTTTTCTCAACCGGATCTAGATTTTAGTTTCTATAATATGTGACTAGACAATCAATTGATAATTGACTATCGCAGGAGTAAATTAGGACTTCACAAATGTCTTAATTTTCTGATGTTCTTGATATGAAGGCTGAGGTTGGCACAGTTCTTGTATTCTGTTACCTTATTCATGTTTGAATTGCAGTTACTGCCTAAATTGGGTTCAATTAATATAAACTGCCTGAAATTAATTGTCGGCAAATGGTGTTTAACTGGTTACTTGAATGATAGAGTAATAGTCCGCAGACCTCTGTAAGTATTTATGATTTTTAGAATTTTGTTGCTACGGTGAGCATTCTCGCCTGTTTCTTAAAATTATTATCATTTGTATGAGACTGTATACCTTTGAGAAATATCCACCTAACCAAAGAATGATCATATCAAGTATTGTAGAGAAAAACGTGAGATAGGAGAGATGACACGAGATAGATAATTTAAGACCATGAATATCACGAAATAAAATAGAGATTATGCAAGGAGAGCCATCCATTTAGGTGAAAAATTCATTATACTCCAGTCTGCTGAATCATTCTTTTCCAGGATTAAATGAATGTGCTTTTATTTATTGAGTTTCACATTTAATAAGGTTTCCCAATATTAAACCGCGCTATGATAATGCTTCATATGATAGCAGGCAGGTGCATCATCAGGTGTAAGTCATAACGGTTGCCTGTTTAAATGTTCTCCCAACTACCTGCAAACATAAGTGTGTATTCAGGATTATTTTATCAGTTTTGAATTGTATACTCATGAAGGTATTCTCTCAATTGCAGCTCGCTCATAGGAAGAGCCTTGATGATTAGCAAGTTGGGAACAAAATGACATCAGAAATATGGTGAAAAGTGTGTTTTCAGTAGATGTGCTCTCCATAAACATTTTCTCAACACATGTTTAGTACGGATAGGTATATCGGTCTCCTTTTGCAATGGTATTTGAAGAGCACACAAAAATAGTTGAATGACTGATTGTCTGACAGAATGAGCGAATGGTTAGAGAAACATTCATAGCAAATCCGTAGTAACTGACTCATATTACTTCAGTCGTCAACTGTTTATTTTGTATATCGTCCGCATTTCAGTAGGACGGATTTATCAACAAATACCGTAAAATCAAAATGTAACCTAGTTAGTGCATTCATGTTTCAATGATGATATCAAATACACTGGCAAAGACACCTGTTGCTTATTTCAGACGAGGATCATCGCAACTGATTCGCAGATTTCGTGTATGAACCGAATGGTCATTCGGGAAATCTTGACGATTCCAACCCAACTGCAGCAATCGCTACAGAAGTGGAAATTCGATTGATCGTTTATATTCCAGCATTCACTGGATAGGCCAAATGATCATCAGATTGCCAGATGGCTTACGCCATAGTCACACCTCTGAATTCCATATTCGCCAAAATTTGTTGTCAACGCTTCTAATTTAATCGACTGCTTACCTGCTCGGTGTGCGGTCCCTGAAGTCGGTAAGTCCTCACGGCCACTTGTTTGAAAGTTGTACATAATACACGCATGTCTAATTAAAGACATTTTATGGGCATGTTCTAAGTGCCCTTTTTGAACTGCGTGGCCTTGAAAACTATCCCAGACAGCGAATCAGAATGAAAGTGAGATTCTTAATGAAAAGAAAGTAGAACCTGAAAGGGAAGTGGCGAGTTGGTCGTCTGTGCGAGGGTGACTTGGAGGAGGTCATGTGAAGAGGAGATGAAAGCATGTGGGCAGACTTAGAGCCAGGTGAAAACTCTAGCAGAGAACCGAACGCAATGGAGACGCACGGCTGAAGTTCTATGTTTTTCTGAGAAATAAAGGAAATAATAATAATAATGATAATAGTAATCCGAATTCACATCAAGGCCGCTGCTATTTGACTGAGAACCACTGTTATACAATTTTTGTATGCGATTTCACAAGAAAAATTAATTCGTAACATCCTATTATGAAACGGATGCAATTATTGCTCGATTGCTTACATTGTGGAAATAGAATATTTTGTCTTCGTACTCACTGATTTGTTGATGATTCAACAATGGAAACACAACTGGATTTTCATTTGAAGTGTTATTACCTGAAGATGTTCGCCTGTTGCCGTTTGTAGTATTTGATTATTATTACTACATCAAATCCTTTCGATGTTGATGTTTAGAAATGCTGAATACATTCTCCATGCACACATTATATTCTTTAAATTACATCAATACGTTTTCCGCATACCGACAAAGAAGTGAGAGTGTAAGCGTTCCACTTTATTCATAACAAATGTTTACTTGACAACTAATGAACTGTGTCTTGTAAAGCCATGTCATCCTTTTTGTGAATGATCTTAATATTTGGATATGATAAACAGGCAATTGTTTGTGGGTCAAACTGTCAGCGTCAATACAACAATTAACATCATTTCGATGTGTGTTATATGAAGTGGTAACGTGGCGATTTCCAATATCTCTGTGACTTTGCTACATTATTTACCTAGTGACCAGAAAAAGAGAGTAGTGCAACCATTTGTTCTCGTGACAAGTATTCAAATACCAAATATTTTGGATAAACGTCATTTAAATCATTTCGAAAATGTTTCAGAATTAAGAGCTGAAAAGATGCATGTTAGTATGTTCACATGATTTCTACATCGACATGTGCCACATAATTTGAATTATCTGTGAAACCGAATTTGAACTTCTCTTCTGATTCCGATTGATATTCTACTTATCTTTATGATTGATAACGTATTTTTGATCATGGATACACAAACACGTTAATCACGAAACCCTTGTCTCCCGAGATTCAAGGATATTAAGTAATGGTTATCATTTGAGAGATGTATGTTGCAGGACTGTGTATGGTTTAATAGTTGCAAAATATGAGACAGATGATGGTAAAATGTAAGTTTACCACGCGCACATTTGATATCTCATTACAGCTGATAATGTACAAGTCTGCGCAGTAAGTTACCTACGTATAATACTTTGAAGTACTTGCTGCATTGACTGACATGTTTGAACAATTATCAATGTGATCCGTAATTTACTTTCTTATGAAATTGGAAATATCCAAGTGATTTGAACGAATCCAGAAATCATTTCTGTATGTAATACAAATTGTGCATGCTATCTAGTTAAAAGTGCTACTGAAGTGATATTTCTATTCTTGTGTAAGTAAATAAAAGCGGAAAGCTTCAGTTTTGTGTATGTTAAACTAAATAACTCTCAACAGATTTCTGTGATATTCCCACTTTGCAAGGATTTAGAAGTGTGTTTTTTACTGTGAAGTGAATAAAATCTTTATTTATTATCCTTTTGATTATAGGTCATATTGAAGGCATCATAAATGATTTTTTGTTTTGACTGAACTTTTCATAAAATTGTTGATTGCAATAACACAAATAAATTAATTACGTCTCCCACTGACTTCTCTCACAATTCAAAACCAATATAACTTAAATTGACCTCTTTCACTAGTTGAAATATTCTTAGTTATTTTTTTGACAATAGTTATTTTCATCGATATCTCGAATTACTTGTGCCTAAATGAGGGATGACAGTTGATGAATTTTGTGTGTATTTCGTTTGCAAACACAAGAATTTCTTTGCAATGGTAAAATGATACGAAAACACATAACATTCCCCTAAAAAATTAGCATATCAAACATAGTCCAATGAATTGTTTCGTGCGACATAAATTCAGTTATACATGAGAGAGGTGAATAAAATAGACTGAAAATGAAGGAACATTTTATCAGTGAATGGTACCAACAAGAGAGACTCGTTTCAGTCTGATCACAGGATTCGATCTCTGTTTTCTACTGGGTAACTGATTAGCTTTCTTTAGACACTCCCAATCATGAACAGCACATAGGTACAATAATTTGACCGCCCTGTCGAAAAGGAATAACACCACAAATCAAAATTCCCTTCAATAGTGCTGTTTTGCAACTATACTGCCCAGTCTAAATATAAAAATCGAGTACTTATAATAACGCAAAATATACTCAATGGGGTCAAGTCAAAAGTGCTGTCCATATCAAATACAGATGAATTCTTTCCTTGCACCGTCGAAGATCAAAGTCACATTCTACAAATCATTATCAATATGTGAGCAATCATGAAGAGGAAAACCATCAAACTCTAGATTAAATAAGGAGAATCACAAATGACAAGTATACAAAAGTGATATGTAGATTTCAGTGCGATGATACACATTCTAAAGGAGGAATGTGTTGTAATATCAAAGCTAACAGAGAGGTCAAAATATGTTAACATGTGGAGATTAGAATGTACAGGAGACGTTTTCCAAACAAGTATTCCTTAAGCCTTTGAATCATAAAATTGATCATAGGTATGTAAAGAAACTGAGCAGTTTTATAAAACATGTTATTTTGATGATCTACCTTATTCCAGACAGTGTCTGACAACTTAAAATGAAAAGTGTGCAAACGAATCTGCTTCTGCACTTGACAACACCATATATATATATATATATATATATATATATATATATAGCTATTTATAGATGGTGATTCATGAGAAAGCAGTATGATAGACGAAATCTAACAGATGCATTTCAAGCAAGATATTTCCACTTACTTGACAAGAATATCGTATCAGACACTTCCTGGTCAACTCTCTCAAACAAATTCACGCAACCTGTCAGCACCATAGTGAAATTGACCACATCCTGGCAACGGAAAGAGGTCTTTGTTACGCAATGTCTTCTGAAATACAACATGAATATGTAATGAAGAGATGTCGAACTAATGTTGAAGAAACAGAGAAACGAATCAATAATATTTGAAGAATCTGAAATGGTGAATCATACTGGATAAATATGTCGTGAATCACATATCGAGAACCTAGGGTCCATATGACTGTAAATATTGAAATGAATATTGTTCAAAATATTGAATGCTGCAACATTGGGTGATAATAATCCAATTTTTACAAAATAATGTCAGTCATCCGCTCCACTCGCAGTATGGAAACGAATGTCTAAGCATCTGGACTGAAGTCATATAAAGTTTCTGCAAGAATATATTTTCAAAATAAAGAAGGATGAACTTTATTATTATTATTATTATTATATAAGCTTTATTCCAAATCAGTACTTGTGATACAGAATGGAATTCTCAGCATTTTACTACAATATTGCATCCAGTTTTTACATTAACAATAAATAAAGTTCTACATAGATTAAAGATTATCTCAACAACATATTAGTATGTCGGTAGCAAAGCCAAAATTAAAATGTTTGAAGGTGTTACAAAAGTAGATACTACTAGCATATTTACTGGCGTAAGCGATAGCAAAATGGTCGAGATATACAGAGTGTAAAAGAACGAACAAGAATGTTTTAAGTAGAGTTTGCAAGGAAGAGAAAAACAAAACAGCACTTAACAAAAATAAAGACAAAAAAAGAGAATGAAAAGAGAGAAAACGTTGTACCCATAAATGATGTGAGTTGGAAAGACGAGATTCATTGGTTCTAGTGACTATTTAATAAGTTAAAGGTTTCATGCCTGATGCATTCTTTATCACACAGAACACGGGCTAGGTAGGGTATGGATGAGTTTTTGTACTTACTAGTGCGGGCATATAGTTTCCTATATAGACTTCTTGTTTTCCCTGAAGAGATACATGGGGAGAGTTGTGAGTGTAGAGGGTGTTGTGAGTCAGATAAAATGGACTTCGCCCATTTTTCACATGAGTCCATG